ATTGTTATTTTTATTTATTTATTTATTTATTTATTTTATTTAATTATGTTTATTTAGTTTTTCCAATGGGAAGTTAGAGGACTTTGGGGGAGGGAAGTGTTTATTTAGGAAGTGTATTTAGGGTAGTGTTCACAACAACATGGAAGGATAATTATGAATGTTAAAATTGATATTTCATGTAAAAAAAAAAAAAAAAACAATAAAGAAATTAGAAATAAAAGTCTGAGGTAAGCCTCGCCCTCCAGAAAATCGTCAGTCTAGAGTGATTGTAGACTGTCTCCTTTATTTGAAGGCAGTGTTTCTAATGCGGATCATTACTACACAAGTGATATGTTTTGCGTATTTTATAGTGTTTGTCATCACTCCCGTTTGATTTACGACACCAATTTAACCCCTTCAGTTCCACTCGCTGGGATTGAAGCAGATAGCTAACAAAGACACAATGCTACAAGCAGGGGAAGTGAGGTTTTGTTTCACAACTCCTGCAAGCTAACTTTACCTAAATTCTAAACGACTCCTCATTATTTTGTTTTATTTAAGGCTTTTCCTCCAATACAAATCTGTAAGTCAACCGCAAGAAGTCTTTGTTTACATTTAAAGTTCATGATCATCTATAAAGCAGCATGACCTTTTAGAGGGAGTCTTCATCGTTTGGTTTCAGCAGTTGATGTTTCTGTTCATTTTTAAGCTCAAATAACATCTATTGTGATGCTATTGTGTCCGATTTCATATGTCTCTTGGCATTATAACAAAATCCAATGGTGTTTAGTCCAGTCTCTGATTTACGTAGAAAGAAATGCTTTAATAAAAATACCAATTCCCTTTTTTGTATGCTGTTTTACCATATATACAGTTGAAATCAGAATTATTAAACCTCCTTTAAACTTTTTCTTTTTAAAAAAATATTTTTATCAAATATTTTTGATGTTTTAACAGAGCAAGGAAATTTTCACAATATGTCTGATAATATTTTTACTTCAGGAGAAAGTCTTATTTGTTGTATTTCGGCTAGAATAAAAGCAGTTTTTAATAAAAAAAAAAAAAACATTTTAAGGTCAAAATTATTAGAAAATTTCAGACGGCATTTAGAATTCCTTATATATAACTCTTGATATACAGTCAAACATGTTAAAACTCTTAATTCTGATTAGCTGGAGTGTGTGCTTTAATTCTGTTGAAACACACAGGTAGTTCCAGTCAGTTTTGATCACATTTTAAACAGGATAAAAATAGGGGAATTGGTCATTTAATTTTTCATATTAATGAATTAGTTCATTGACTTTTTGGCTTATCTACAATCTGTTTTATCTATATCTGTAATCTATACATGCATTTTAAACTCCAGCTTTAGATTTTATATCATGCATGCTAAAATCTTACTACTATTCGGGTGAAATAGTAATACTAACATGCATCTTTACACAGTGAATTATCATTACATTTAAAATAGTTTTATACATTTGTTTGGTTGCATAAATTACATGATAATAATAATAATAATACATGTCAGCTCTACTGCTAAAAAAAAAGCATCTTTGACTTTAAATTTGTAACCAAGAGGTCAGAATCTGAATATCAAAACTGGCTCCATTTGAGGTTCTGGAAACCAAAGCAAGCACACTTGAAGAAAGAATAAAAGATTTTATGGAAACTTCATTTGCAGAACGACAGAAACGCCTTTCTTTGAAAAAGGTACAAAGGAGATTGAGTAGGGGCACAGGACTCCCCAGGGGGAGGCATAAAGTCAGCTTCACATGTTAGAGTACTTCAAAGCGTGAGACACTGAAATGGAAAATTTCAAGGGCTGTTTGCCTCTACAACATTTCATGCATAAGAGTGGAAAAATGCGTTAGTTTTAGGAAACTGTCATTAATATACATTTCTTTAACACTGGCAGAAAAATCACACCCTGCTAATAACAACCCTGCACAAAGAATGCCTACAAGCAGACATTTATATTTATTTATTTGGGTTCATTTTATTAGAATTTAATGACCTTTATAGGTGGAACAATGGCCATGTATGGAAAACAAACAGTGCAGTGAGTCTGAGGGTTTATAATACCAACTTTTTCCATTCTGTCTCTCGTCAAAGAGCTTGCACCCTCCCACACAGCTGATATTTCATCTCTTTGTCTGATTTGAGTAGACATCTAAAAAAAGTTAAGGTTTGAGGTTTTACCAAAGTCTATACAAACGTGCAAACATCTTCAGTTATACAGCAATAAAACTATGTATTTTTTCTTTTCAAGTGTTTGTTTTTAGGTGTGACATATCACATATTTTTTACTGCTAACTGGTATTTCACACTGGTTTTGTGGCTTTAATCACATGACTTGAACAGAGAACAGGAAATGGTTGAGAACCGAAACCAGTGATGAACGTCAGTGCATTAACGCTTGTATAGGCCACAATCAAATTTTTTACCATTAGACAAAAGTGGCAACACTGCCTTTGACCCAGACAGGACATACAGTATATAAGCTATACGTGGTTTAAATGGCTGTTTAGTTAATATACACCATCTTTCAAAATTTTGTTGTCAGTAAGATTTTTTTTTTTTAAATAAGAAGCCATTTATTTGATACAAAAAATACTAAATATGTGATTTCTGAAGGCTGGAGTAAAATCCAGCTTTAAATCAATGGAATACATTACATTTTAAGCAACACTCTGTCGCATTAAATACTAAACTGCGTTAAATACCAGCTGTTGCATTAAATACTAATATATATTAAGTTTGATCAAGCAAATGAAGCATTAAGGTAAGCAGAAGAGACTTAAAAAATAAATGTACTGCATTAGTGTCCAGGAAACAGTGGTCACCGCTCGTCTAAAAACGAACCCCTATATACATTTCTGGAGATCGCAAATTACTCAGAATTACATATGTACGGTGGCCGGAAGTGCAAAACAACATTACAAAGTTGGAAACACTTTTACAAAGCTCGAGACTAATTTACATTTTGAAAAACATTTTTACCTATCATCAGACACCATTACATAGGAAAAACTATTTTACCAAGGTAGAAACAAATTTACATTTTAGAAAACAATTAACATGACGCAAAACACTATTACAAGTCCCAAAACAAATTTACAATTACAAATACCTTATGGAAAGGGAATGTACCACACACCGGAAGTGACGTGGAATGTATCACACGCAACGAAAAATATCAGCTTGTGTGTGACTTTGTAGACACAGGTTTCCACGATGGTTTAAGCAATTGCGATAAACATAATAGAGCTATTCTGAGAAAATATCAGCGTGATTAAATTACACTTTGTAATGTTGTTTTATACTTCCCGGCCACCGTACATATGGCTGCACTTCGTCTTTAAAAAACGGTTATGGGGCGGTTTGACACCGTTCCTTTTCATGCTTACCAGCTGAATGTTAACCTCAGTGTAGGCAGCTTTCCCGCTGTGACCAGTTTGTACAGTAGCTCGCTGTGCACATCAGTGAACTTGAGGATATGACCACGGCAACGAGGTTCGAGTCTGGTGAAGAATGACTCCAGAAAGCATGTAAGACAAAAACAGAAGCCAAATATAAACAAGTAAAAAACAGGGTGAGAATGTGGTGAATGTGGTAAAAATCAGAGGGCTTTTCTTTTTCTGGATGGCTTTTTAAAACACTGCAGTTAGATTTAGGGAAGGGGGTTGATGGTTCAGTCTGTGCTTTTGAAAACACTATTGGTTGGGTTTAGGGAAGAAGGAGGGTGGGTCAGTTGATCAGTCAGTCAGTCAGTCAGTCAGTCAGGTGACAGCGGCCTCTGGTGGATTTGCGAAACTAAAAACTGAAGAAGAAGAAAGACTTACCCCCTGGGATGCATTTGGCACTCTCCAGAAATGTATATAGCGGTACGCTTTCAGAACAAGCCTGGTTTGATGGGTCAACAGCTGGACTGGATAGAGATGTAAGCAGAAAAGTTCATTTGTACTGGTCTCACATTAATAATAAGAGATGAAGTGAAACTGAAACAATTATAATGAAAATATTCCAATCAGTCTTATTTAGTGGAATTAATATGACCAGCTTTTTGCACTAAGCTAGATGAATGCTTTCTTTAGCCAATGAAAAAATTAGATGAATATTATCAGACAAATAAAAGCCATCATATATTAGGTATATTAGTTTTCTCTTTATGGTAAGTTAATGGGAGACTGTTTGTGTAAAACTGCAGCAGCAAGACGAAGCAAGCTGCATGACAAAATGCTCTGAAACATGCTGGTAGGATGTAATACATTGGTCAAAAAATAACTGTAAAACTATTGTAATGCTACAGCAGATTATTTCTCTCTATTTTTTTCTTCTACTTTTTTAGCTTTATTCTCTTCAGTCTTAAAAAATCCATCTCAGTAGATTGTAAGAAGCAATTTGTTTACTTGACTTAACTGTCACCCCCCACTTTTTGAACAGACATAAAAATGACACCTTCAACTTGAATAATTGATAATGTTCACAACACTTTGGACCATAGCTTTAACCTTTGTCTCATTTTAAAGAAGACAGATGTCAGTTTGTAGCTGATAAAAAAGAAAAGTTAATTAAAACAAAGGTTATGTGTCTTTAAGTTTATGAAAATAAAACAATAACTCTATATTTTATTATGTTACATAAAATTTGTATTTTACAAAACCTGTTTTAGCCTAAAATTGCATTGCAAATCTGTTGATAAAAGGTTTGTTTGGGTGCAGTACCAACCATCATCACTAGATAACATTTAGTTTACATTGGTGACCTTATTACATTACACTGGAAACATATATGTGGTTATGTGAACTTACATTGGAATACCTCATATTTCTGTGTATGTTTTGAGGAATATGATATATATATATATATTCCTCAAATCATACACAGAAATATGGGGTATTTATATACATTTATACATACATATATATATATATATATATATATATATATATATATATATACACACACACACTGTTACCAAAATGAGATGATACTTACAATATTGAAAAATGAATATTGCATTTACAAAACATCTGATGTCTTTATTCACAAGGGCTGACGGACAACAGAAATATCCATAAATGTTTTTTACATATGCACAAAAGTTAATACACTTGTGCTTAACACCAGCAAAATTAAATTACAATAATATCAGTGGGAACCTCAATATTTACATAGACAATTCAAGTAAAATATAACAACAGCACGGATACATGTTACCAGGCAGACAATACTTTTAAAAGAGAACATATATGAAAATATTCACAGCTCAAAATATCTGATCAAAGTCAAACATAAGCGAAAGACCTGAAATGTCATGAATTTAAAAAATAATATTTGAAGTATGATAAGGCGACGATGATCTTTTCATTGAATTATTGTCTTGTAAATAATAATAATTGAACTGAATTCAAGTATTTAAAGGTGAAGTAAGGGTAAACAATGCTTTTTAACTTGTGCTTCAACCAATGGCTTGAGTTTGTTGTAGAATTTCTTGTTTATTTTGACAAATAACAGGAAATTTGTTCTGAATGTTAGCAAATCTCTTGCTAGTGCCACACAATAGATATTTACATTAGATGTTGCCTACACTGTTGTGGTTTACTGGATTTGAAATGAATGTGGAACCAAGGTGCAGTGGAGGACTGGCCATCTGTATCTATGATCAGGAGTTTTCCTGGTGGTCAGTATGTTATTTATTTATTTTTTAATTGCAAGGGCATTGCCGACAAAGAGTATGTGTTTGTGTGCATGGAAACGTATTATCCTCCCTCCCTATTAAATTTGATCTAATCCATGTCCTGAAACATCCGTGCCCCCTCTCCTGCTTTCACTTCTTATTCTAACAGATGGAGCGATTTGTTTGTGACTGAATATCTGTTATTATCGACTCAAATGAACCATCGATTTCCTGCGTCTTAATGTGCATATCCACCTTTCTGATCTAAATGGTATGACATTGGTAATATTCACATTGCACATTGAGACGTAGGCGCTGTTATGTTATCAGGCACCCTTATATGTTACTACATAAACAAGCCATTACATCACTTAGCCCAGTGTTTCTCAACCACGTTCCTGAAGGACCACCAACACTGCATGTTTTGGATGCCTCCTTTGTCTGTCACACCTATTACATGTCTTTCAGTCTCTGCTAATGAGCTGATGATCTGAATCAGCTGTGTTTGGCTAAGGAGACATGGAAAATGTGCGGAGCAGGTGGTCCTCCAGGAACGTGGTTGAGAAACACTAACTTAGCCGAAAATAATAGAAGTTTCTAGCACCGCAGAGTCTTGTTGTCAGATTTCATTTACATTGTTTGCTGATTTTATTCAACAATCTATAGCAATAACCTACAATTTAATGCAAGTTAGTGTTACTTTGCTTTATGGTGAATGCAGTAAGTGACTGTATTATCATCAATAATGTTACTTGTTTAGCACAAAAGTTTATAACGTACAAAATCGTGAAAAATGAAATCTTACCTATGAAATGTTGTTTTCTTGTTACTACACCCGTGGCTTTAGTCTTGACTAATGCAGTTGAATGACATTTGTCCTGGGAGCACTGTACAAATGTGGCGGTGGTATTGACGCATGCTCAGGGTCTGTATGTGATATCTAGTGTTTATATCTATGGTGCCACACTAATGACACACTTCACCTTTAAATCAATATAATAAATCAGTACAATCCCTCAAGCAGAACAACAAAAATACTGGTATATTACTATGAAAACGAAAATAGTTTTCACACATCCATTAAAATGTCATAAGCCTCGCGGAATATCTATGTATCAGATCAGGCAGAGTGAACTCACTCTTTAGTGGTTTGCATGATCACCGTATAATTATATCCGTACATATAAATCAATTTACACAATATCCAAATTAAATTATATTGTACAAGGGATGAAGTTTTTGACAGACAGCTCCTAATTCTTACCATCAGGCTTTACATTTAAAAAAAGTCATTAGTGAGATATAAAGTTGAAAGATATATTACAAAATACCTTAAGCTTGCATATTTGAGTCCAAAAATCTGCAGAAGCCTCGGTTTGTATAAAAATCAATGTGCAACAAATTCTTCATCATAGAGATCCTGTAACAAACACATAAAAGCAATGCAAATTCTTTGTACAACAAGAGTCCACCACAGCTTGGCATCCTACAAACGTGCAAGGCGTGCAGGCAGACATCATACTGAAGTCCTGGGTTTTCTGATCACTAACTGAACCGGACCCTCAGAGACGCTTTTGATGATGTTCCAGGCATCATAGTGCATAAGACCCTGCAAAGACCTGCCATTGATGGCTAGTAGCTCATCTCCGACATCAATGACCCGGGACTGTTCAGCTGCTCCTCCTGAAAGGTGATAGAAAAACACAGTCTGAGCTTATCCTCCTCATATATCAGGATAAGCTTTCTATACACACAGGCTGGTTGCACTGTGTGTCTCCACCTAGTGGGGTGTTGAAGTCTTGCACTCACCACGGAAAATGCGTTTGATGTAGAGAGGTCGATCTCCATGAGCAGATGCTTTGCCTCCATCTAGACTGAACCCCAGGCCAGCTGTAGTCTTCTGTAACTCCACACTCAAAGCCCCGTCTGGCCCCACTTCCACACCTACATTCAGACAAATAGCCAAAGGTAGTAAAAGGAAGTTGTAGTATTATTTATGCTTATTGCTATATCAGCTTCGTTTGCTATTAGAAGGCAGATATATTTGACAACAAAATGACGTAAATAGAATGCACCAAACATTTTATAAATATTTACTACGAAAAAGATTAAATGATGAAGAACAAAATAAATATAACTTTATAAAAATATTTAAATCTAAGATCTATGTATAATGTAACCATAAATACGTCTTTAAAAGTTTGTCCTCATAAAAATCTGTTTTATAAAATTAAAAATATAAAGTGCAAAAATTTAAAACTGAAGTACTAAAATTTTATGAAAAAAATAAATCTATATTTTTACAGTAGTGTACACCATGAAATACTGGATAGCCTGTTTTGCTATCTACATGTACTTGGGTTAACTTCCTCGCCAGCTTATAACTAACATGCTAGATTATGTGTGCCTGGGCTACCTTGCCAAATGGCTTAACACCAGAGTACTAGCCTATTTGTAAGCTGTGGCTACTTTACAAATTGGCTTAACTCTAGTGAACTAGACAATGTGTGCTTGGGCTAACTTGCTGACTGGATTAGCACTAGAACTGCACACTATAGAATCTATTTTGACGATCCAGGCGCAAAGTCCAAAGCGCAGGGCACAAATGCATTAAGGGCGTGTCCGAATCCACTTTTACTATTTTTAGGATGGAAAAATCAGCTCTGCGCCAGAGTTTATGGTCTAACAGGGTTGAACTTGTTCTCTTAATGAGTTAGAGGTGTGTTTTGAGAATAAACAATTCTCCGTCCATTCCCTTTAAAAGTTGCGTCGCACCATAGCGCATTTGCCATTTACGTGGTAGACTTCGTGGAAAAACTAAACACTTCAAAAACAGCTAAGAAAACAGTTAAACAGCATCTGCAGCGCAAGAATGAGAATTAGCCTCCTCATTCTTTACTTTCACTTCCACTCTCGTGGATAAGCAAACGTGTTGTACGTACAGACATTCGTTCGCTTACATAATTAATTTCATTTGTTAAGCGCAAAGTTTTGTTTCAAAACTATTTTTAAATTCAGTTCTAATTTCCAGCAAACGAATAAATGAACAATAAGTGTGGTCATTTCAGTGCAGTTATTTCTAAATACACATGCTATAACCCATATAGTCGAACTCAACAGGTGGGCAAATCTAAGCTTGTTTTTAATAAAAACAATTATAAATATGAATATGATAAATAATACTGCTAATAATAACATTATACAAAAACAAGTTGTCATAAATAAAAAAAGGTAGTGGAGGAGGTACTGGTTTTAATATTTATGTAGGCTAGAAAATAATATTTTTTTGTATTATTTTATTCCTTTAATTCTGTTTCAATTGTAAAGATATTTGCGTATTGCTGTACATCCTTTGTGTATTAAGCAATGCGTTAGCAAGGCACAAAACAAACGCACTCTGCGCTGGACTTCAGACCTCCTCTCAGCTGAACTATTGAGCAGTCTTTTTTAGTTCCTCAAAATAGCAACACGCCAGCAATGCGCCTTAACACACCTCCTTTTTTAGACTAGAACGCCTATGGGTTCAAATGCATTTGCTATTTAAACAGCGTGCTGCAAAACGTCAAAATGACTCTTGCGCCGAGCTGAAACTAGTAAACAACAATTGTGTCACGCCTTGTGCCACAATGCGCCTGGTGTATAATAGAAAATATCCTTGTTACAAACATTATATGAATGTGTTGCAGGCGGAGAGAAAAATAAACCCAGCAACCACATGAGCAAGCCTTTCAGTGTATATGGTCCATGTTCTTGTAGGTAATTTCATAAACAGTTTTAACATGAACACTCGTTGGCATTCACCAAATCAATATATAAATAGACCTGAGGAAAAAAAAAAATCCTAAATGAACAATGTAATCAGGAGCCTAAACATTTATAGTGACTCGTTAAAAGGAACCAAGACGGGTGAAATGGAGATGGTTTTTACTGTATAAAACACACAAGGCTCCACCACCACTGTGCTACAGAAACGTAGAAACAGAGCAAACCACCACTCAAATGTCATCCCGCTCTCATAGGATAGGAAAGTGTTTCATGTTTCCACAACATAAAAGACATGATCTAAGACCACACCAAGTCCACTCATGTCACACAACACCGAAATGTTGTACAACAGCATGTATTCAAAAGACAATGTGTTAGTAATCTCTGATGCAACGTGCAGCTGGGCAACAAAAGGGCAACAATGCCCTTGAAATGTTTAAGAAGCCAAGTATGACATCCGTACACCCTTTTCAATCCCGAAGTTAAACTTAAACCATTGCTTCTGAACATGGATTTAGAAACACAGCTGCTCACTGTATGTTTAAATACATCAATGTTGTACACATGGAGATTTGATTGAAACTTCTGAATTCCCTCTTTAAAAAAAATAAGTAGACCAACAACACATGGATAAAGATAAAATTATTTATCATTATCATTATTAATTATTACTTATTTTCTTAATGTTGTTTTAGCAATGCACTGCAGAATGCTAATGCAAATGATTTTGAGGTATTTAAATGTTAAGGAGCAACCTCATTGGCCACTAAGGCAAAAGCAAGCAATCATGTTGAAAGCAGGTTAAATAGAATTTATCAGGCTATGTGCCCAATATATTTTCATGACAGAACTTTGTATTTATAAAAAACAGGCTATTTGACAGATAACAGCTTCATCCTTTTCATGAGCGACTCACTTGTTTTATGCCCCCTGATGTTTTCTCTAGGACCTGGAGAAGTGCAGACCGCAGTCTGAAGGGAAAGCTCTTGTCTAGGTGATGTTGGTTCAGCGTTCTTGTCTTTTTGGATGATCACTAATGCCTGTTTAGGCAGTCTGGTCTGATGAAGGCAGGACAGCGCCTCTCCGTGTGTGATCCCACTCAGGCTGGTCCCGTTTATTGACAAAATCCTGTCACCCCTGTGAATGGTGCCTTCCACTCCTGCTACCCCTCGAGTAAATACACGATGGACCTGACATAAAAGAAATGTTGAATTTCAGACTAATTGAGTTTGGAAACAAAGTATAATGCTTCATCTTAGTCGATTATTTTAAATACTAGGGGGCTGACAATGTGGTATTAAAAATCTATTGAAGATGGTTGAATTTGAATATGTGCAATTTTAAACATACAAAAGGGTTAAGCATAGCTTTATATCTTGTGCATTAAAAAAATCCCATTCAGGTCAGATAAACTCAGGACCTTCAGGACAAAAATGTCCTGAGTACAATAAAGTGTTTTAAAAATATAAAACTTTTTGGCACACTTTATTCAGGTTTGGAATGTGGAGCAAAAATTTTCCCCCCTGCTGGCTGTCTTCGACATTGCGATATTTTATTTATCTGGGATATTTTTGCAATATACTACATTAATTTTACCAAATTATTAAATAGCACTATTTGGAAAGAATTTATAGTCACACTTTATTTGAACATTTACTTCCTGCTATTAGCAAACTATTAACTATGACTTTTGCTTTAATTAACCAAGTCTAATTTGCTCCTTATTAATAGTTATTAAGGTAGTTTAGGTATTAGCTTAGGGATGTAGAATAAGATCATGCAGAATATTTAGTTTATAACTACTAATAAGTAGTCAATATCTCAATATTCTATATGCAATTATATGCATGCTAATAAGCAATTATTTAATAGTGAGCATTGGTCCCTAAAGTGTTACCAAATGTATTTTTTATTGACTGGGATGATTCTGTAGGGATGTGAATGATGCATAAAATGTAATAAACAAACTACAAGCATAGATAAATGAAACAAAGCTGGGATAAAATAAAAATAAAAAGTGCACTCTTTGTGGTTTTGTATATGTAAACGTAAAAATTACACTGCAAAGTCTTTTTGTAAAAATAATGCAATAAAATTGTTCTATATTAAACTTACAATTTGCAAAGGGTCTTGGGCCTGAATACTTTAATCTCTCTCAGGCTTTAAAAACATGCAAACCATAAAATGTCACTCTGTTGTGGTTGGACTCTGCGGTGACTCCAAAAATATTGTGTTCTCAATTGTGACTTTTGCTCAAATATAATCCTAACTCAACATTACATATCTATGCAATGTGACTATTGCGGATCCATCCATTGTGATATCCATGCTGAAATTATATATTGTGCAACCCTATTTTGAACACTTTAATCAATATTACATACTTATGGTACATGCATACCATTATTATAATATTATTATGTGTCATGGTCTGTCACCTGCATGTTGTCACAGTCATTCGTTTTTGTTTTCTCGTAGCACATGGCATTGTTTTGACAGCGCGCCATGTGCTCCACTGCCTCACTCCACCCACTTATCAGGTTACTCATTAGATCATTATTTCATTATTCGCACCTGTCTCTAGTCTTAGCCTTATGAGTCTCCCTATTTATTCTCCTCTCTGTCATTGTCTTGTACCGGGTCGTTAGTGTGTTTACCTCACGCGGTGGCCTCTTAGATCGTGTCCTGTCTTGTATCCATTTTTGACTCCAGTGCCAGTTTTTTGATTTCGATTTTGTGGTTTGGACTGTTTCCTGTTTTTTCCCCTTTTATCAGATCGCCCTCGCTGCTATCAGTTGTGGTAGACGCTTCCCTCTCCACTTCCTGCTTCAGCCTTTTCTATTCCGCCCACCAGCGATCTTCTCCCTCTCTGGCCGCCTTGTATCCCGCCCGGGCGCTTTCACTTCGGCTGCTGATACTGCTGTGTTTCCCGTTTGACTGGAGAGTTGGACCACCGTGCGCCTCCTGCTGGAAGCACTTTATATTGCCCTTCACCTGAGTTACCCATTTCCTGTTTTTTGACTGCGAGTTGGACTGCCGTGCGCCTCCTGCTGGAAGCACTTAGTATTGCCTGTAATTATACCTTCTGTTTTTGCCCCTTTTTGACTGGCGACTTTGGATCGCTGAGCGCCCTCTGTTGAACTTTCTTTATTTATTTTTTGCCAGTATTTTGTGCTTTTTCTGTGGCATTTACAGCACCCTGTGCTGAGAATTTTTTGTTGTATAATATCCCCTCTGCAGGCCACTTTAGTAATAAATAATTCTGTTTTTCCCTGCATTTGATTCCTCCTGATTTTTTATACTGACACTTGTATGACAGAACGACCCGGTCAGAAGATGGAATCAGCAGGTTCTGACCAGATGCGCAATGCACTCGCCCAACAAGGTGCACTTTTGGGCCAGCACGCCACCCAGCTCAACACCACCTCCAGAGAGGTCGAGATGCTCACTGCCCAAGTGGTCGAGCTCAATGCCCGAATTGAGGAGCTCCAGCACAACGTCACAGTACCCAGGCAAGCTTCTTCTTCCCCCACCACACCCCATCATGACCCAGAGCCCCATGCAAACAACCCTCCACCCTACAATGGGGACCCCAACTCCTGCCGGGCCTTTTTATCACAGTGTGCCTTAGTTTTTGCCCTACAGCCCCGCCGATATGCCTCTGAGGCATCCAGGGTGGCATACGTCTTGACCCTGCTCACTGGGAGAGCACGTGAGTGGGGCACCGCTGTTTGGGATGCCAGGGCACCCTTTTGCCACTTTTTCGAGGACTTCAGGGAGGAAATGATCAAACTTTTTGACCGGTCTGCACAGGGTGATGAGGCGGCTGCCCGCTTGGCACGACTATCCCAGGAGGGCCACTCCGTCACAGACTTTGCAATCCAGTTCAGAACTCTAGCTGCCTCCTGTGATTGGAACGAGGGGGCCCTACGTTCCAGATTTTTTGAGGGCCTGAACGAAGAGATCCAAGATGAGCTTTCTTCTCATGAGCTCCCCCATAACCTTGAGACCCTTATTAACCTGGCACTCCGTGTGGAGGGGCGCCTCCGCCGCCGCCGCCACTGGCGGTCCATTCACTCCTCCTGGAGGGTTAATGACCTTCCCCTCCAACAATCTAGCTCTTCTACTCCTCCCTCACCTGAACCTGAGCCCATGCAAATGGGTCGTATGCGCCTTACACCTCAAGAAAAGAGGGACCGTCTTGCCCGTGGTCTATGCCTCTACTGCGGAAAACCAGGGCATTTTGCCGTCAAGTGTCCTTTAAAAGCCAAGGCCCATCAGTGAACCGGGGGATCCTGGTGGGCGCCTTTCCCTGTCTAGACTCCCCCCGCTCTCGCACCCTGTTGCCCATCACCATCCAGTATGAAGGATCCACTAATTCGGCCTCTGCCTTGCTTGATTCAGGGGCCGAGGGTAACTTTCTAGACCGTGCCATTGCCAAACAGTGGGGCATTCCTGCCGTTCCTCTCCCTTCCCCCATTTCTGTCTGGTCATTAGCTGGTCAGCTTCTCTCCACCATCACCCACATCACTCCCTGTGTAAGTCTTGTCGTTTCCGGCAATCACCGTGAGGCCATTGAGCTGTACCTTTTTGACTCGCCGGGTTCCCCTGTAGTCCTGGGGCATCCCTGGCTGGCACAGCACAATCCTCACGTTGATTGGTCTGGAGATTCTGTGTTGGCCTGGAGTCAGTCTTGTCATGTATCTTGTTTGGGTTCTGCCTTGTCTCCTGGTTCTTTGTGTTCTGTGTTGCAGGAGGAGACAGCCGATTTAACCAAGGTCCCGGTTGAGTACCATGGTCTTCGTCAGGTCTTCAGCAGGTCTCGGGCTGGGTCTCTCCCTCCTCATCGACCATATGACTGTGCCATTGACCTCCTCCCAGGCACTTCTCCGCCCAAGGGTCGCTTGTATTCCCTTTCTGGTCCAGAGAGAGAGGCTATGGATAGGTATATTCAGGAGTCACTTAATGCCGGTCTCATCCGTCCCTCATCATCTCCTGCAGGTGCTGGGTTCTTCTTTGTTAAGAAGAGGGATGGCTCCCTGCGTCCCTGTATTGATTACAGAGGGCTAAACGACATTACGATAAAGAACAGGTACCCCTTACCTCTCATGTCGTCTGCTTTTGAGCTGTTGCAGGGAGCCCAGGTCTTCACCAAGTTAGACCTTCGTAACGCTTATAACTTGGTACGCATTCGTGAGGGAGATGAGTGGAAGACAGCCTTTAATACCCCTACGGGACACTTTGAATATCTGGTCCTTCCCTTTGGTCTGACAAATGCACCAGCTGTCTTCCAGGCCCTGGTTAACGACGTGCTGAGAGACATGGTAAACAAGTTTGTCTTTGTGTACCTGGATGATATTCTCATTTTCTCATCCTCTTTACAGGAACACACTCAGCATGTGCGTCAGGTCCTCCAACGGCTACTAGAGAATCAGCTCTTTGTTAAGGCGGAGAAGTGCGAGTTCCACGCTAGGTCGGTTGCGTTCCTGGGGTATGTCATCTCGGCTGAGGGAATCCGAGCTGATCCTGATAAGGTAAGGGCCGTTGCCAAATGGCCAGTCCCCAACACCCGCAAGGCCCTGCAGCGTTTCCTGGGTTTTGCCAATTTCTATAGGCGTTTCATCAGGAACTTTAGCCAGATTGCTGCACCCTTAACGGCTCTCACCTCCACCAAGGTATTGTTCAAGTGGAATACACAAGCTCAGGAGGCCTTTGGTGCCCTTAAGTCCCGTTTCACCTCTGCTCCTGTTCTTTCTATTCCAGACCCTGAACAACAATTTATTGTTGAGGTAGATGCCTCTGAGGTTGGGGTAGGCGCGGTCCTGTCTCAGCGCTCATCCAAGGATGGGAAGGTGCATCCTTGTGCCTTTTTCTCTCATCGCCTGAGCCCAGCAGAACGTAATTACGACATCGGTAACAGGGAGCTGTTGGCAGTCAGGCTGGCCTTGGGTGAGTGGCGTCACTGGCTGGAGGGTGCGGCGCACCCCTTCTTGGTCTGGACGGACCATAAGAACCTTGAGTATGTCCGTTCGGCCAAGAGGTTGAGCGCACGCCAGGCTCGCTGGGCACTCTTCTTTGGTCGGTTCAACTTCGTCCTCTCGTACCGGCCAGGGTCAAAGAATATCAAACCTGATGCCCTCTCACGACTGTTCGAGACCCCCAGTGGGGAGACCCCGGTGGAGTCCATCCT